AATCCCTTGTTCCACGGCCTCTTCTGAGCTTGGCTTGAATTTCTGGCAAGTCCCTGTTGATGTATTGCTGCAACCGCTTTTTAATGATCTTCAGCAAAATTTTACTTCTGTGTGATAGTAATGATATTGTTTGATAATTTCCATATTCTGTTGGTTCAGCTTTCTTTGGAATGAGCACAAAAATGGACCTCTTCCAGAGATTGAAAAGCTAATTAAAAAACTCCCCTCCACCCCCCCCCCAAAAAAAGCCCTGGTCCTGTTAGCATCACTGGAGAATTCTACCAAATTTTCAGAGAAAAGTTAACACCACTACTACTGAAAGTATTTCAGAGCATAGGAAAGGATGGAATACTCCCAAACTCATTCTATGAAGCCAGCATAACCCTGATACCAAAACCAGGTAAAAGCACCACAAAAAAAAAGAGAAAATTACAGACCAATATCGCTCATGAACATAGACGCAAAAATCCTCAACAAAATTCTAGCCAATAGAATTCAAAAAAGTCAAAAAAATAATACAGCATGACCAAATGGGATTCATACCAGGTATGCAGGGAGGGTTCAACATTAGAAAAACAATCAGTGTAATCTATGACACAAATAGAACAAAAGACAAGAACCACATGATCTTATCAACTGATGCAGAAAAGGCATTTGACAAAGTCCAGCATGCATTCATGATAAAAACTCTCAACAAAATAGGAATAGAAGGGAAATTCCTCAGCATAATGAAGGGCATTTGTACAAAGCCAACAGCCAACATCATCCTAAATGGAGAGAGTTTGAAAGCATTCCCCTCGAGAAAGGAAACCAGACAAGGATGCCCTTTATCACCACTCTTATTCCACATTGTGGTAGAGGTCCTAGCCAGAGCAGTTAGGCTGGAAAAAGAAATAAAGGGCATCCACATTGGTAGGGAAGAAGTAAAAGTATCTTTATTTGCAGATGATATGATCTTAAACACACAAAACCGCAAGGAACTCACAAGAAAACTACTGGAACTAATAGAAGATTTCAGCAAAGTATCAGGATACAAGATAAATATACAAAAATCAATTGGATTCCTCTACACCAACAAAGAGGACTTCAGAGAGGAAATCACCAAATCAATATCATTTACAATAGCCCCCAAGAAGATAAAATACTTAGGAAGAAGTCTAACCAGAGACGTAAAAGATCTGTACAAAGAAAACTAGAAAACACTACCGCAGGAAACCGAAAGAGACCTACATGAATGGAAAAACATACCTTGCTCATGGATAGGAAGACTCAACACTGTGAAAATGTCAATTCTACCCAAAGCAGTCTACAGATAAAATGCAATCCCGATCTAAATTCCAGTGGCATTTTTTAATGAGATGGAGGAAAGAATCACTAACTTCCTATGGAAAGGAAAGAGGCCCCGGATAAGTAAAGCATTACTGAAGAAGAACAAAGTGAGAGACCTCACACTACCTGATTTTAGAACCTACTATACCGCCACAGTAGTCAAAACTGGTACAGCAACAGATACATAGACCAATGGAACAGAATTGAGAATCCAGACAAAAATTCATCCACCTATGAGCAACTGATATTTGGCAAAGGCCCGAAGTCTGTCAATTGGGGAAGAGACTGTTATAGTCTCTTTAACAAACGGTGCTGGCATAACTGTATATCCATCTGCAGAAAAATGAAACAAGACCCATACCTTACACCATGGACAAAAACTAACTCGAAAACAAGATCATGGAAGCAAAAATAGAGACAACACTAGGAGCCCTAATACATGGTATAAACAGAATACACAACGTTACTAACAGTGTACAAACACCAGAAGAGAAACTAGATAACTTGGAGCTCCTAAAAATCAAACACTTATGCTCATCAAAAGACTTTACCAAAAGAGTAAAAAGACAACCTACAGACTAGGAAAAAAAAATTAGCTACAACAAATCCTATCGGCGTTTAATCTCTAAGATCCACAAGATACTGCAAAACCTCAACAACTAAAAGACAAATAACCCAGTTCAAAAACGGGCAAAGGATATGAACAGGCACTTCACCAAGGAAGACATTCAGGAGGCTAACAGACACGTGAGGAAATGCTCACGATCATTAGCCCTTAGAGAAATGCAAATCAAAACTACACTGAGATACCGTCTCACCCCAACAAGGCTAGCATTAATCCAGTGAAGACAAAATAATAAATGCTGGAGAGGTTGTGGAGAGACTGAAACACTTATACACTGTTAGTGGGAATGTAAAATGGAACAACCACTTTGGAAATTGATTTGGTGCTTCCTTAAAAAGCTAGAAATAGGCCCAGCAATCCCACTCCTTGGAATATATGCTAGAGAAATAAGAGCCATCACACAAATAGAGGTATGCACACCCATGTTCATTGCAGCACTGTTCACAATAGCAAAAAGATGGAAGCAACCTAGGTGCCCATCAACAGATGAATGGATAAACAAATTATGGTATATTCACATAATGGAAATACTACGCAATGATAAAGAACAACGATTAATCTGTGAAACATCTCAACATGGATGAATCTGGAAGGCATTATGCTGAGTGAAATTAGTCAGTCAAAGGACAAATATTGTTTGAGATCACTATTATAAGAACTCAAGAAATGGTTTAAACACAGGAGAAAACATTCTTTGATGGTTGCGAGGGTCGGGAGGGAGGGAGAGTGTTATTCGCTAACTAGATAGTAGATAAGAGTTATCTTAGTTGAAGGGAAGAACAACACACAATACAGGGGAAGTCAGCACAACTGGACTAAACCAAAAGCTAAGAAGTTTCCTGAACACAGACACTTAGAGGGATAGAGTAGCAGGGGCGGGGGTCTAGGAACCATGGTTTTAGGGGACATCTAGGTCAATTGGCATAACAAAGTTTATTAAGAAAATGTTCTGCATCCCGCTTTGGTGAGTGGCATCTGGGGTCTTTTTTTTTTTTTTTTTTTTAATGTACTTTAAGTGAAAGGTTACAATTCAAGTTAGTCTCTCATACAAAAATTTATATACACATTGTTATGTGACACTAATTGCTCTCCCTAAACTGTGGCAGCACACTCCTCCTTTCCACCCGATTTCCTGTGTCTATTCAACCAGCCCCTGACGCTCTCTGCCTTCTCATTTCCCCTCTGGACAGGAGCTGCCCATTTAGTCTCACGTATCTACTTGAGCTAAGAAGCACACTCTTCACGAGTATCGCTTTATGTCCCATAAAAACCAAACCAAACTCGTTGCCGTCGAGTTGATTCTGACTTACAGCGACCGTATAGGACAGAGTAGAACTTCCCCATAGGGTTTCCAAGGAGTGCCTGGTGTATTTGAACCGTCAGTCTTTTGGTTAGCAGCTGTAGTACTTAACCATTAGGCCACTAGGGTTTCCTTTATGTTGCATAGTCCAGTCTAATCATCTGAAGAGTTGGCCTCGGGAATGGTTTTAGTTCTGGGTTGATGGAGAGTCTGGGGGCCGTGCCCTCTGAGGTCCCTCCAGTCTCAGTCAGACCATTAAGTCTGGTCTTTTTACTAGAATTTGAGTTCTGCACCCTATTTTTCTCCTGCTCCATCAGGGACTCTGTTGTGTTCTCTGTCAGGGCTGTCAGTGGTGGTAGCCGGGCACCATCTAGTTCTTCTGGTCTCAGGCTGATGCAGTTTCTGGTTTATGTGGCTGTTTCTGTCTCTTGGGCTAAAACTTTCCTTGTGTCTTTGGTGTTCTTCATTCTCCTTTACTCCAGGTGAGTTGAGACCAGTTGATGTCTTAACAATGCCGAATTTTTCAGTTCAAGAATACAATATATCTCTCTGTTTATTAAGGTCTTTTAAAATTTTTCTCAGCAGAGTTTTGTAGGCTTGAGTAAGTCTTCTAAAACTTGTCACATATATCCCAAGTATTTTGTATTTTTTGATGCTGCTGTAAATGGTATATTTTTTTCTAACTTAAACTTCTAGTTATTTGTTGCTACTATATTGAAACACAGTTGATTTTTGTTGATTTTTGCTTTTGGGTCCCTCATCCTTACTAAAAACTCATAACCAGTAGCTTTATTTGTAGCATAGGTAATCATGTCATCTGCAAATAAAGACATTTTTCCTTCTTCCTTTTCAATCTGGATGCCTTTTATTTCCTTTTCTTTTCTAATTGCCCTGGTGAGGACTTCGAGTTTGATGCTGAATCTGATTGTTGAGAAGAGTGGGCATCCTTGCCTTGTTCCCGAGGACAGGGGGAGCACACTTTGTCTTTCACCATGGACTGGAAGTTAGCTGTGGACCTTTTGTAGGTGCCCTTTATCTCGTCTAGGAAGTTTACTTCTATTCCTCTTTTGCTCAGAGTTTTTTATTTTATGATGTAATTTTCTACTGTTGAAAGCTAGAAAACAACTAAGCAAAACAAACGTAAAAACAATAGAATTGCATTTGTTGATTTTTTGAAATGTTAAACATCCCCACTTGGTCATGTTGTATTGGTCTTTGTATATATAGTTGGATTTGATTTGCTAATATTTTATTAAGAATGCTTTTGTCCGTATTCATGATGGATATTAGTCTGGGTTGTTATTGCTAGTTGCTCTTGAGTTGTTTCCTGTGTAAGTCTTTTTTTAATGTCATTTTCTCTTTTGGGCATTAGAGTAGGGATGTCCTCTTTTTCATTCTAGATTTGGTGATTGGCCGTTTTTCCCTCTCTCTCAATCAGTCTAGCTAGAATGTATCAGTTTCATTAACTTGTTTTCAAAGAACTGGCTTTTGGTTTTGTCCATATTCTTTTTTTTTTTCTTTCCCTCTTTTGTTGATTTCTGTTGTTAGCATATTTCCTTCCCGCCTCTGAAATAGAACTCTAAAGGCAGTAGTGTGTGAATTGGGGCCATTAGGGTTGCGGAAAACAAACCTGACCACAGCTGCAAGTGCCTGTTGCATCTTACTTGCTAAAGGTCTCTTTTTAGTTTAACATGTGAAATAAAGTCATAGCACTGAATTGATACATATACTTCTTTTATTTTTCAGGAGGGTTTGCGTTTGTATATGAAGCTCAGGATCTTGGAAGTGGTAAAGAGTATGCTTTAAAGGTAATAAAGAATGATTAAAACATTCGTATGAGTTTTTGGTTTATTTTCGTGGAAATCTCTAAATGACCATGTTTTCAGAAGTTATTCTTATCAGTTTGTTATGTTTCTTTATGGCTGGTCTGTGTTTTGGAGGGTCACGTTTGTTTCCTCTAATGGTGAAGCAGTCAGTGGGTCTAGATGCAGTGTTCTCAGAGAATACTTGGACGTCTTGATTTTCAGCTCTGGGGCCAGTGCTGCCTTGGACTTGCCTGCCGGGCTCTGAGAGTGGGACAGGTGGTAGTAGAGAGGCCCCTTGCGGGAAGCAGCCCCCTCCCACTGGGCTGTCACTGCCTCTTGGCCTTCCGTAAGTTTCTGTATGTCAAAAGGTTCCACGAACACAAGGAATTCAAAATCCACTTGTGTAAATGTGCATGGCACAGTGTATCTATAAATGGGGTCACGGTAGCATGGTGGGGGTGTTGAGACCACCCTGGGGTGGCGGGGCTTTCTGAGACACGTCAGAAGGGGCCCAGCTCTCGGGAGGCAGGGAGGCTCAGACTTGCCTCTGCCAGGCCACGGGGCGGGGGGCTGGTCCTGGCAAGTGGCCGAGCTCTAAGGCTGCCCCTCGTGCTCTTACTTTGGGGATCCAGAATTGAGCCCCACATCCCTCTGAGCGTGTGCACTCATGTCCCGTGTTTGTCTTGTTTGACTTGGGCTTGTGTGGAGAAAAGTCTCCTCTCTGGTTTTCTCTTGTGTCCTTGGATCATAAAGGTCTATTTTTAAGGGTTGCTGTGAGTCAAAATCGACTCATTGGCATTGGGTTTTTGTTTGTTTTTTTTTAAGTTTGTTTAACCTTCCATCAAATTTTCACAGAGCTCAGGTGTTAACAGGGTTTTGCAGGTTTTCGCTCTCTCAGGGGCACTGCATCTGTTCTCTTGGGCGTTTATGTCTTAGATAGGCATTGTGTAGAGTGGAAAAGTAAACAGAGCCTGATCTTTGCTTTGTGTGTGTTACTTCCTGACACAGAGGCTGCTGTCCAATGAAGAGGAGAAGAACAGGGCCATCATTCAAGAAGTCTGTTTCATGGTATCCTTTTCGGAAAGTCTAGAAAGACCTTCAGCCTCTCTGAGACGCAGAGACTCGGTCACACTGGGGCTTCTGCCTGCTGGGAGGCGCCTCTGTCCTGTCCTGCGTGACATATTAAAATGGCCTTTTGCTTTTCCTGAACTTACCTGTAGAGTATTTGTGCTTGCACCGCTCCCCCTGCTCCCGCTGCCTCTCTGGTTGTCCTGCCTGTTACAGGTTGGACGCTCGTCACTCTCGCCGGGTGTGTGGCCAGAGCCATGCCACGTTCATGTGGCCTCGACCCTGTCCTCACACCACATCCCTGCTCCTGGTGGACACTCGTCACTCGCTGGGTGTGTGTCCAGAGCGTGCCACGGTCATGCTGCCTTGGCCCTGTCCTCACACTGCACCCCTGCTCCCGCTGCCTCTCTGGTTGTCCTGCCTGTTACAGGGTGGACACTCGTCACTCTCGCTGGATGTGTGGCCAGAGCCGTGCCACGTTCATGCCGCCTTGGCCTTGTCCTCCCACTGTACCCCTGCTCCCGCTGTCTTTCTGTTTGTTGCCACCTGCTCACTCCCTCGCCTTTCTGCTCTGGTCGCTAAACTCGTGAGGTAATTCATTTCACATGTGATGACTTTAGCGTCTTGTTGTTGTATGTATTTATTTTTAAGTGCACAGAGTTATGGACATACTTATGCATATTTTTCCTTTAACAAGACATCTACAGAAAAAACTTTCTGGCCACCCCAATATTGTCCAGTTTTGTTCTGCAGCGTCTATAGGAAAAGAAGAGTCGGACACAGGGCAGGCTGAGTTTCTGCTGCTGACAGAGCTCTGTAAAGGTAATGTTCCTTTAGCATCTGAAGGGCTCCTTTTTCAAATGTCCACACGGTTATAAAGTACAGGCAGCATTTCCCAGTGTCTCCTCTCAAACCTAGGTCCCTGGGTGGTGCAAATGGTTTGTGATCAGCTGCTAACATAAAGGTTGGTGGTTTAAACCCATCCAGTGGTGTCATGGAAGAAAGGCCTGGCGATCTGCTTCTGTAAAGATTACAGCCAAGAAAACTCTATGGAGCACAGTACTTTTCTGTTACATGGAGTTGGTATGAGTTGGAATTGACTCAGCAGCAATGGGTTTGGTTTTGATTTCTCTCAAAAGTATTGGTCGTGCTAAAAAAGCCAGGGCCGGCTGTGGCCTTGAGTCAGAAGGAAGAGGACTCTTGGTGCACTAACAGGACAGATGCCTCCTGGGGAGAGTTCCAGGCAGAGCTGGTCTGCAAGGGACGGAGCAGTTGGGGAGGGGGCTGTGTCCCTCTGGTGCAGGGTGCTGCGCCTGCCCGGGGAAGCTGCCTGACATGCGCCTGGTGAGGCTTTCACCTCACTAATGATATCTCCTGCACTGAGCCTCAGTCTCCCTATTTGCAGAGTGGGGATGCTGATACCTACCTCATTCACTTAACAGCCTGTCCTGAGGGTTGCTTGGTGCCGGTGCTGGTTCAGGTGATGTACAGGGAACACGATGGACAGAGGTCTGCCCTTCTGGAGCTTACAGTCTGCTGGGGCGGAGAGGCATGTGATTAACGCTAATGCCAGGTCGTGACAGCTGTCATGGAGAAAGGGGTCAGAGGCATAGGATGGGGAAGGCTCTGAGGCTGGGGGACATCCTAGGAGAGCGTGGTGAGGTCCGCCTCTTTTGTAAGGTGACATGTGGACACAGCCCTGACGGAGGGAAGGGGTCCAGCAATGGACGATGACTGGGAGGGTCCAGCAGGTGTAGAGGCCAGGTGGGAGGAGGCTGGCTGAAGCAGAGTGAGGGAGGCAGGAAGGCAGGACCCAGCCACGCAGGCCTTCCTGGGGGGCCTCTGGGATGCCGTGAACAGGGAAACGCAGCTGGTGTCGGGGTGGCTGCATGTCTCCCAGTCACCAGGGAGCTAGTGGGAAGGGAGGAACCCCAAGCCCCCTCTTACCTGAAGGTCAGGGAGGGGAGGAGCAGCCCTGGGCACAGGGCACAGGGCAGGGAAGCCCCTGAGGGCATGTGCTTGTGAACCAGGACCAGGTCCTGCCATGGGGGCCAGTGGCGGGGGGAAAGGAGCCTGGTTGGAGCAGGCCTGGGAGCCAAGGGCAGGGGTGGCAGGCAGGGTGTGCAGACAGCATCAGGGAGGAACGTTACTGTAAGAGGAGCCGAAAAGGGGTCTTGTTTAGCTGGCGCTGGCGGGAAGGAGATGTTGAGTATTGTGTGTGTTTATTTTAAGGCTGGGGAAGTAGCAGCAGTGACTGAGCTGCTGTTAGGGAGTCGCCTGGGGGGAGGGACAGCTCCAGAGCCCTGTCAGAGTACAGAGAGGGGCTGGGCCACTGGGAGTTCCTGTCAGAGTGCAGAGGGGGGCTGGACCAATGGGGGTTCCTGTCAGAGTGCAGAGGGGGGCTGGACCAATGGGGGTTCCTGTCAGAGTGCAGAGGGGGGCTGGACCCATGGGGGTTCCTGTCAGAGTGCAGAGTGGGGCTGGGCCTGTGGGGGTTCCTGTCAGTGCAGAGGGGGGCTGGACCTGTGGAGGGTTCCTGTCAGAGTGCAGAGGGTAGCTGGGCCTGTGGGAACGGGGATGGGGGTTCCTGTTGTTCTTGCTATGAGTGCAGGGTGCAGGGTGTTGTTCTTGACATCAGGCATACTGGATGTAGGTGCAGACCTTTTCGACCCTGGCCTGTGTGGCCCCCTGGCCTGGTCTGTGCTCGTCTGTCTGAGTGGCAGAAGGACCGGCTGCTTGCTGTCCTCTGGGCACAGGCCCTTGTGCATCCTGCTCTGCTGTCTGGAGCTCTCCTCTCCTCAGGCGGCCCAGATCAACCCCTCTGTGATCCCCTCAGACAGCGCTGTGGCTCCTGTGGTCCCACTGTGCGTGTGTGGTTGTCTGACCAGCACCCTGTCACAAACGCTGTGAGGGCAGGGCCTGTTTATGTCTGCTCGCCTCTGCGTGTCCAGCACAAGGACTTGTGGGACAGACACATGGCCAGAGAAGAGGGAGGGGAGGAGGCTGCCAAGGTTAGGGGCTCCCTCAAAGCTGGAGGTTCAGCCGGTCACAGTTGTCACAATTAGTATTTTAAAAGTGTTGTAAAGTGACAGTGACGTGTTAATTCCTTAAATTGACAAAAACACTTGAGAAGATTTTGTGTGCGTTTGTTTTCTCCCTAGTTTTTATTCTGGAATTTTAGGCCGACAGAAAACGTGAAAGAAATACTGTAAACACCCATTTACCAGTCACTCGATTCACCAGTTTTTTAACTTTTCCCCATAGTTGCCTTATATCTCTCTATACACTTGCCGAACCATTTGAAAATCAGCTGCAGACACTCAGACCCTAAATTCTGAACATGTCTCTCCTCAGAGCAGGGGCATTTCCGTTATAACCACAGTCCCATTATCACACCTCAGAGAATGAATAGGAGTTCTATAATACCACGTAATATACAGTCCATATTCAGAGGTCTCCCATCATCCCCAAAATGCCTTTTATAATATGCCTTTCCCCCAACCCAGAATTTGATTGTTATGTGTGTTTAGTGTCTTTTTTGTATTTCATGACGTTCTCTCTTTTCTTCTCCAAATAGCCCTGTTATCTGTTACTGGGGATGTAAACACCAAGATCTACGCACTGGTTGTGCTCGTTGCTGCTGGGCTGTCAATGCTTCTAGGGCTGATCCGAGCCGCGGGGCTAACCCCGGCCGCGGGGTTGACCCGTGCCGTGGGGCTGACCCTGTTGTGGGGCTGACTCATGCCATTGGGCTGACCCCTGCCGTGGGGCTGACCCCTGCCGCGGGGCTGACCCGTGCCGTGGGGCTGACCCCTGCCGTGGGGCTGACCCGTGCCATTGAGCTGACCCCTGCCATGGGGCTGACCCCTGCTGCGGGGCTGACCCATGCCGTGGGGCTGACCCCTGCCATGGAGCTGACCCCTGTTGTGGGGCTGACCCATGCCGTGGGGCTGACCCCTGTTGTGGGGCTGACCCATGCCGTGGGGCTGACCCCTGTTGTGGGGCTGACCCATGCCGTGGGGCTGACCCCTGTTGTGGGGCTGACCCCTGTTGTGGGGCTAACTAGTTACAAAATGGCACGGTAGAGGTGTCTGACCTCCTCTAGTTGACTTCACAAGGGGGAAGGAGAGAGAATCAAGATCAGCATCAGCCCAAGGCTGATTCCTATGAGATAGAGGTCAAACATACCTCTTCTCTCCAACCTTTTTACCAATTTTGATACCAGCCGTCCCTCCCACAGCACTCTGCTTCTCTGCTGGGTTCGATAATTCTTGCAGAACTCAGACTATACTTAGAGTTACGGGGTTTATTAGGGAAGTAACAGATTACAACTTGGGATCAGTATCAGCAGGCTACAACTCTGGATCAGGATCAGGAAGCATGTAGGCAAGTCTGCTTTTTTCAGTGCAGGACAGCTCTCTGGGCCCCCTGAGGAAAGGCTCCTCTGGGCCCCCTCAGGACAGGCTCCTCTCGGCCCCCCTCAGGACAGGCTCCTCTCGGCCCCCCTCAGGACAGGCTCCTCTCGGCCCCCCTCAGGACAGGCTGCTCTCGGCCCCCGTCAGGACAGGCCTCCTCTCTCAGCCCTCAGCCCCCACTTGGGCCTGGCGTCTGCCCTGTTTGGTCAACTGTTACAAAGCTTTTTAGCTCCGCCAGTAAGTACCCAGAGGCACCCCACTCCGTCAGTAAGCCTCCTGTCCAAAGGTGCTCAGCTCTCTGTGGGTCAGTGAGCCTAGCTCTGCCAAGTGCCTGGAGGTACCCCGCTCCACCAGCAAGCCTCCTGCCTGTAAGTGCCCAGCTGTCTCACTCTGTGGCCCAGAAGCCCACCACACTGTATTGTGCCAGTCTCCTGGTTCAGCTGCTGCCATTTCTCTGCTGTGCCTCTTTCCATCTCATGCCTTCTCTGGTGTTACAGCTCCTCTCTCTGTCTCCTGGGTCTAGGAGGTTCTCAGTGCAGAGACCTCAGCCCCAAAGGACGTGCTCCACTCCTGACTGTTCTTTCTTGATGGTAATCAGATCCCCCTCTGCTCTGGGAATCACTCTCTTTTTAAGCCTAGTGTGATGGCAAAACTGACCAATCCCCTCATTAGGGTTCCATACACCTTATTTGCATAGTCACACCCCCATAAGGGTTCCATATACCTTATGTGCATTATTAGGAAGCTGTCTGATCCTCTCAATGGGCCACAAGCTCCTTATTTGCATAGCCCCACCCAGTAATTTTGTAGGAATCACAAGGTATGCATGGCTAGAAGGGCCACATTAAGCCAGCCACTGCACTGCACCCATGCTGTGGAGTCAGTGTGTTCTGTGTGGTTAACCGGCCAAGGGTGGCATCCTGGGGCCAAGGAGGAGGAGGACGTGGCCCTTGGGACTCTCCGGGCGGGCCCAGCGGGATGAGACATCTCCTCAGAATCTGTTCTGTCCTCTGGCCATGTCCTTTGTTACACACAGTGTATTCAGTAACAAACACATTTGCTGAAATTTAACGGTATCAGTTGTCTTAGTTAGTGCTGCTATAACAGAAATGTCACAAATGGATGGCTTTATCAAAGAGAAATTTATTCTCTCATGGTCCAGGAGGCTAGAAGTCCAAACTCAGGGTGCCAGCTCCAGGGGAAGAAGGCTTTCTCTGTCTGTTGGTTCTGGGGGAAGGTCACCGTCATTAATCTTTCCCTGGTCTAGGAGTTTCTCAATACAGGAACCCTGGGTCCAAAAGACGCACTCTGCTCCCTGCAGCACTGCTTTCTTGTTGATATGAGGTTCCCCCTGTCTCTCTGCTCACTTCTCTCTCTTATAGCTCAGAAGAGATTAAGTCAAGATACAATCTAATCTTGTAGTCCTGCCTCATTAATATAACTGCCTGTAATCCTGCTTCATTAACATCATGCAGGTAGGATTTACAACACAGGAAAATCACATCAGATGACAAAATGGTGGACAGTCACACGATACTGGGAGTCATGGCCTAGCCAAGCTGACACACATTTTGGGGGGACACAGTTCAGTCCAAAACATCAGGTGTATAGCCCTTTGTTATTTATGAAAATTGGTGGTTGTTTCTTTAGAAATAGATGAAACACCGTGCGTAGTTTTAGTAGTTTGACTCTGTAGCTGCCATGATGCACCGCCTGTTTTGTCAGCAGCCCTGGGGAGTCTGTGTATCCAGACTCATGTCTCTGTGTGGCGGCCCCAGGTGGTTTGTAATCCATGGCTCTGCCGTGGGATGGCTTTTGCTCATCGCACCACCCCAGGCGCTGTCCCCGTCTGCTCCTGGTGGTGGTCTGCACTGTCACCGACAGAGAGCTCCCTTGTACCGGGCAAACCTTTCTGCCGGCGGTTTTCTTGAAGCAAAGCCACCAATAAAATCCCTTCTACAACGATCCAGTTGGAGAAAAGACCCAGAGCGGTGGCTCGTGACCCGTGGCTAACAGCTTAGTATGGAAGCTGCAGCAGTCCACGTGGGGGGGGGGGGGCGGCGCACCTGTGGTCGCATACCTGTGGGGGCAGCACATCGGTGGGCAGCGGCACACCTGTGGGGGCAGGCTCTGACCAGACCACGCAAAGCAGCGTGGCGTCTGGGCCACGGTCTCAGGACATGCAGCATTGTCTCTGTGGTGGATGGGGGCTGAGCAGGGCGTCCTAACCTTGCTGGCCGGCTGGGGAGGTCCTAGCGTTTTAGCTCCATGGTGATGTGCATTTAATTGTCTCTTTTAGGGCAGCTGGTGGACTTTATAAAGAAAATTGAGTCTAGAGGTCCTCTCTCGTGTGATACGGTTCTGAAGATATTTTATCAGACGTGCAGAGCAGTGCAGCACATGCACAAGCAAAAGCCGCCCATCATTCACAGAGACCTCAAGGTACCGCTTCACCTGCACTGCGCTGACATCCGCTGCTGCCCACTGCCAGCCGTGTTAAGACACTGCAAGTTGTTAGCAAGCGAGGTTTGGGTGCTGTTTTACCTGAGAAATCTGGAAAGATTGGTATAGGAGCTTCTGAACAGCAGAAATGAATTTTCCAGAGACTTTGCCTTTTAAGCACTGGAAAGAATCCCTCTTTGATCTCATATGACTTTGCTAATACTCACGGAATGCCCGGCCTCCTCTGGGTTCCTGTGAACCCCTTCCCTCCCAGTCGAGAACATCCACTGGCCCCTCCTGGCCTTAGCCCTGTGCAGTGCCCTTCTCCTTCCTCCACTTTACCGAGCCTGATGTCCTTCTCTAGGGACTGGTCCCTCCTAATAACATATCCAAAGTATGTGAGAAGAAGTCACACCATTCTCCCTTCTAAGGAGCATTCTGGCTGTACTTTCTCCAAGATAGATTTGTTCGTTCTTGTGACCGTCCACTGTATATTCAGTAGTCAACACCATAAAGGCATCAATTCTTCTTCATTCTTCCTTATTCATTGTCCAGCCCTTGCATGCATATGAGGCGATTGAAAGCACCATGGCTTGGATCAGATGCACCTTAGTCCTCAAAGTGACATCTTTGCTTTTCGACACTTTAGGGCGGTATTTTGCAACACATTTGCCCAGTGCAATACAGCGTTTGACTGCTGCTGCTTTGGGCGTTGATTGTGGATCCAAGTAAAATGAAATCCTTGACAACTTTAATCTTTTCTCCATTTATCATGATGTTGCTTATTGGTCCAGTTGTGAGGATTTTTGTTTTATGTTGAGGTGTAATCCATACTGAAGGCTGTGGTCTTTGATCTTCATCAGTAAGTGCTTCAAGTCTTCTTCACTTTCAGCAAGCAAGGTTGTGTTATCTGCATATTACAGGTTGTTAATCAGTCTTCCTCCGATCCTGATGCCCTGTTCTTCTTTGTACAGTCCAGCTTCTTAGATTATTTGCTAAACATACAAATGGAGTAAGTATTTGGTGAAAATATACAACCCTGGCACACACCTTTTCTTAATTTAAACCACACAGTATCTCCTTGTTCTGTTTGAACGACTGCCTCTTGGTCTATGTACAAGTTCTGCATGAGCACAGTTAAGTGTTCTATAATTCCTTTTCTTTGTAATGCTATCCTTAATTTGTTACAATCCACACAGTGGAACGCCTTTACATAGTCAGTAAAACACAGATAAACATCTTTCTGGTATTTTCTGCTTTCAGCAAGGATCCATCTGACATCAGCAATGATGTCCGTCATTCCACGTCCTCTTCTGAATCTGGCTTGAATTTCTGGCAATTCCCCATCGATCTATGCGACAGCCATTTTCTTATATAACCTCTACAAAAGTAATAGTTCTTAGTGTCTTCTGATGTCTCTTCTGTTGGCAGCTTTCCCCAGTTATCCCCAAAGTGTTACGTCTCTTAAACCTCCTTTGATCTAGAACCTTCCCCCATGCTGTTGAGTTGTTGAAGGACTGGGTTGGTTGTTCTTTTTTGCTCCTCTTCCTCTTCCTCTGCAAGCAGAGGGAGACGAGGACTGGGTGAGGTCCTGGATCCTTTGGCGTCATGGAAAAAGCAGAGAGCTCCACTTCACTGTGGTTTATGCCTCTCCCGCATTGGATCCTGTCAGCAGTCCTTCCACGCCCCAAGGTCTTACACAAGGCTCTCTGTTTTTTCCCTAAGGGTTCTCCAGTTTGCCTTTCATGTGTTAAGGTTTAGTCCGCCCGCAGTTGGTTTTGTGTGTGGTGTGAGGGAGTACAGTGGCTCTTTCTCCACGTGGACACCTGGCCTGTCTTTGCCCCAGAGGTGCACCGTCATCCTGGCAGCTTGCGGGCCCTTCCTCCTCTGGGATGGTCTGGGTGTCCTAAGGAAAGCCTGGATGCCTGGGCATGGCTCTCCATACCCTTTCCCTGGTGTGTGTGTGCATCTCTGTGTGTGCACATGTGTGAGTGCACACATGCATGTGTGTGTGTGAGTGCCGTGTCTGTACGTGCTGTGTGCATCCATGTATGTGCTGTGCATGTGCACACGTGCGTGTGTGCATGAGCACCATGTGTACACACGAGTGCCATGTGCGTGCATGCATGTGTGTGCATGTGAGCACTGTGTATGCGTCACGTGCACGTGTGCTTGTGTCTGTGTGTGTGCGTGCACAAGTGCCATGTATGTGTGCATATGCATGTGAACACTGTGTGTGTGTGCGCACATGTGCTCTGAGAGTCCTGGGGTGAGTGAAGGAGGCTCCTCCTGAAAGGGGGAGGGGCTCTACAGTGAGCGTGTGGCCCTTGACGATGGACCTGAGGCTGCTGACCTGTAGACCTCTGGGAGGCCGATGCTAGCCCCGCCCCAGGGTGCAGGCTCTGGAGGGTGGTTCCCTTTGTATTTTCTCCTTCCCTTACACTGAGAGGAAACAGTGGTTAAGTGCTACAGCTGCTAACCAAATGTCGGCAGTTCAAATCCACTAGGCGCTCCTTGGAAACCCTATGGCGCTCCTTGGAAACCCTGTGGGGCAGTTCTGCTCTGTCCTGTGTCATCGCTATGAGTCGGAATTGACTCCACGGCCACAGCTTTCGTTTTTTTGGGTTTTGCACTGAGAGCCTACCTTATGGGTCAGGGGCTTCATTTACATTTTGAACCACGGGTGGGCCTGACCGTTTGCTTTTCTCCTCTGAACCCAGAAAGGCCTAGAAAACCAGGCTTTAAGGTCACTGGTTGGTCCGATGCCCCAGCAGCAGAAGCCTGTGAGGTCTGAAGTCCACTTCCATGGGTTCTCCCCCCGCCCCGTTCTCGGCTCAGCCTGCCAACTTCTCCCCTCCTGCTGGCTCCTGGGCGCCCTCCGAAGACCCCCTTCCTCTTTCTCCACCCCACTTCTGTTTCTTCTTCTTTTTCTTTTTTCTCCTTTAATATTCTTTACGGCACTTTCAGTTGCTTTCAGCAGGAAAGTTGTTCCAGGCACTGGGACCTCCCGGTGTTCAGAAGGCAGAGTGACGGGTTTGGAACTGGAAGGGCGAGGGGCTCGTCTCCCTGGGGTCACCCACCTGCACCCAGCACCCGCGGAGCACCGAAGCGGGATGCAGGGCACAATGTGTGAGTGGGTTTTCTGGGAACGAAGACATCTTGCTCTTGCCATCCGGATGGTTCTTTCTCGAGGGTCTTTAACTGGTTTGTGGGTTTTCTAGTGGCGTCCAGACCTTCCCACTTGCTTACTTCTGTAAAGTTTGTAAAGCGTGATGGCATAGACAATATATGTGTGCGAGTGGTTTTTTTTTTTTGTTTGTTTTGTTTTTTTTTGTAAAAGAAAGTTAGAATAATGGATGAAATTAGTAAAGAAACTAATAGTTACAAACTTGGCCTGGTTTGAAATCCGCTTGTCTTCCACGTGAGACACGTCCTTTGTTGCCCCAGGTGCACGGTGACGGTGATGCACGCGAGTGGTGGGGGTGTGGGGGCTGGGGGGCAGGCAGGCACGTGGCCCGTCCTCAGAGGACTTATCTGGGGACATATGGTCACGCTGAGCTAAATGAGTTAGGTCCCCCAGGGCTCTCCCAGATGACACCTCCCTCTCACAGCCCATCCCCCACCCAGAGGCGTGACACTCCCGTCACTCTTAGGTTTATGTACTTGACTGGAGTACGTTCAGCAATAAAATTTATTTCTGACTAATTTTGGATATGAATGACTGGAAACTTCTAGTATGTATTCTTTTGTGTCTGGCTCCTTTTGCTCTGTGGTATGTTTTAAGTTTCATTTGTGTTGTGTGTAGCCGGCACTCGGTGGAATGTTCCGTTGTGTGAACATATCTCACTTTTTCGATCCGTTCTACCACTAATGGATGTGCATCGTTTTTGCTTTTCTTGTTTGTGGCAAACAGTGCTGATCTGGGCACTGTCAGCATCCTTGTATGGGCATTCTGGGGCATTCTGGTGGCGGAGGCTGTATCTTTCCGTGCCTGGAGGGGATTAGGGGTCAGGGGGTTTGTGAGTCTTTGTTGTTGTTAGCCAGTCTCTGAATCATGGCCGTCGGACTATTGTGATCCATAGGGTTTTCATTGGCTGCTTTTTGGGAGTTGATCTCCAGTCCTTTCTTCCTAGTCTCTCTGTCTGGAAGCTCTGTTGAAACTTGTTCAGTATCACAGCAACATGCAAGTCTCCACTAACAGATGGGAAGTGGCTGCACTTGAGGTGTACTTGGCTGGGAATTGAACCTGGGTCTCCTGCATGGAAGGCGAGAATTCTACCACTGAACCACCACTGCCCTCCAAGTGTGTCTTTAAACCTTGACATTCCCGTCGGCAGCATGTCATGGTTTCCATCGCTGCACACCTTTGCCAACCCTTGGTATTGGCACACCTTTCCATTTTAGCAGATCGCTTGGATGTATCTGCTTTTAGTTTGCGTTTTTCCTTATCATTAGGAAGTTAGCCATCTTTTCGTATATTTATTGGGATTTGGATTTCCTCTTTGGGGAAGTACCTTTTGACGTGTTTTGCCTGTTTTTCTGTTGAGTTGTCTTTTTCTTTTTGATTTGTAGAAGTTCTTTATATATACAAACCCAGTGGTTTATAGTTTGGCAAATATTTTCTCCTCGGTGGCTTATATTTTGCTCTCTTAATTGTATCTTTTTATAAAGATGGTCTTTATTTTAATATAGAACATTTTATCCACCATTAGTGCTTTTTGTGCCTTGTTTAAGAAAATCTTTATCTTCACTAATACAGATATTCTTCTAGTACAGATTTATGTATTGTCTTCTAAAGATGGATGGTTGTGCCTTTTATGGGTGGTTATCAGTCTTTCTGTAATTGATTTCCTGTGTGTGCTGATTAGGGAAGGGTCAGGGTCTCCTTCTTTTCTTCCATTTGGGGATACCCAGCTGCCCCAGCTCCCTTGGGTGACTAGACTGTCCTTCCCCCTCTTCCCTGCAGTCCCACATTTGTCGTGATCGTGGCATCTGTGGATCTGTTTGGGGAGCCCTCATTGGAGTGTCCCATCGGATGTTCCATCTGTTCTTGTACCAACGCTCCATTGTCTTACTCACTCGAGCTTCATAATGAGCTTAAAACTAGTCCTCCAAGGTCCTCTGGGCTCTTCTGGCCCGTTCCTTCTCCATGTAAATTCTTGAAACAAGTTTGTCAGGTTCCACCTAAAAAAACGTTTGGGAGTTTGGAATTGCCTTGAATCTCTACAGCAAGAGTCGACAGACTTTCTCTGTAAAGGGCCAGACATTAAATATTTAGGCTTTACAGACCAGTCTCTGTCACAGCTCTTCAACTTCAGCTGATGTAGCGCGGAAGCAGCCACAGACAATACGCAAATGAACAAACATGGCTGTGTCCCAATAAAACTTTATTAATGAATGTGAAATTCAAATTCCATATGATTTTCATGTGTCATGAAATATTATTCTTCTATTGTTTTATACCCCCAGCCATTTAAAAATGTAAATACCATTCTTAGCTGTAGGCCATCCTAAAGCTCGTGGTGGCGGGAATCCCTCCAGGCCGTAGATTGCTGACCCCTGCCCGTCTTTACAGTGTTGTGCCTTTCACTTTAGGAAGGTGATGTAGTTTCCCATTGGTCTGGGATTTTAACAATGGATGGCAGTTTTTATAGCTTTCTGAATAGGGGGGCTTTGGTATATCTTTAGTTAGGTTTATTCCCAGGTCCTTGATATGTTTAATGTCATTAAAAATGGCATATTGAACTTTTAATTTTCTAACTGACTTTTCTTGTGTGTCCCACATGATTAATTGGGGTTATCTTTGGTTGATTTTAACTTTCCTTTTATTTTTCTGAATTACTCATTTTTAAATAAACATGTTACTTTTGAATCAAGCTCTAAGACACTACATTTTTTTTCTTTCTCCCTGAAAGAAGACTACTTTGCTAACCTGTGTGAACTTCCTGTCCTCCCAGTCCTGTACCCAGTGAGTCTCAAAGCCCCGCTCTGGCCCAGCCATGAACCCCTCTGCACTCCTTCTTGTCTGGATGCAGAGCTGGCTGCAGCTGCAGCCCCTCGGATGCCACACGGATTCCCATAGGTCCTGGTCATGGGTCAGGCGGCCCCGCCGGCCTGGATCCTGGGGCAGAGAGCCTGCTCATAGTCCAGGTGGCTGAGTGCTGTTGAACTAAACTCTCGTTTACGTGTCTCCGTGTTGCAGTCTTTATATCCATGCCACAGTCATAAGTTCTTTGTTCTGGAATTTTGCAGGTTGAAAACTTGCTGCTTAGCGACCAGGGGACCATCAAGCTGTGTGACTTTGGCAGTGCCACGACTGTGTCGCATTACCCCGACTACAGCTGGAGTGCTCAGAAGCGAGCGACGGTGGAGGAAGAGGTGAGGACGGGCAGTTGTGGCGGGTGCTTCACAGCAGTGGCTTCTCAGAACCGGGCCCCCTTTCTCTGTTGTAGCCACTGTGGTTCTTTGAATGCAGGCGTACACTGTGTCCTTCAGAGCGAGGCTTGAACAGCTCCCACGATGCTAGCACCCAGGCGCCCCACTCTGCAGGGGCTTCACCTTCTCCAGGCAGCTTTGTAAGTTCTCTTTTCAGACCACCTGGGGGCTGGGTATGGGCTGCAGACGCAAACCAAGTAAACCCGCCTCACTGCTTCCTGTTTTTAGTTAGAACATTCCACTTCCTCATCCTCCACCTCCTTCCCAAACCTGGCTCTGAAGGTCTAAAGGCTGTTTCAGAAACAGTCTCCTTAAAACATACCATGAGGGAGGTTCAGAGGCTACGTCCAGAAAGCCTTCCCACCCCCACGGGAGATTGGATGGTGCGTCCCGCGCGGACAGCGGGTGCCGGCGGTGCTGAGTGTGCTCGAACTACAGCCGTGCCTGGCCACATGGCTAACGTCTGCAGTGGGACTTTGAGGGAAAGACACTGGACAGAAAGGATGAGCACAAACACGGGCAAAGCTGCCTGTTGGCATTCCAGAAGGAGGGTTCCCTGGGAAGGGAAGGTCAGACGCAGACTGGAGGGGCTCTTGGGAGCCAGCGATTCCTCTCTTGTCCTGGGGAAAGGGTTGCACAGTATGTTCAGTTTCTGCACATCCCCAAGCTGTACACCTGGGACATGGGCGCTTCTCTGCAGGCAGAGAAATCAAAGCAGAGCAGGAAAAAAAAAAGGGGGGGGGTAGATGGCTTTCACCTGAAAGTGTGTTCCAAAGAGGAGCTCTAGTGGAAGCCGGTGGCCTGGAAGGGTGCAGGCCATTTCAAGGATGTGCTGTGTGTCTGAGTTGCTGATGGAGCCTCTCTGTCTCTCTCGACCTGCTCCCGGTGGTCGCTTGCTTGAAGCTGCTTGGCCTCTGACAGGCATCCTCTTGTTCCTCCCCTGAGCGCCTGTCCCGGGTTTCCCAGGGTTTATTGATACCTGCATTATGCCCCAGTAGCGTTGATAACAGCAGTGAGATGGAGACAAGGGTATTTTTGGAACGCAGCCATTTTTGACATGCTTCCTTATAAATTACGCTTTTCCTTATTCCCCAACACTACACAGTGTTTATCAAATGAATGAATTTTCTCATCCCTCGAAATCCCATTAGTAATGCAGAGATGGGTTTCTTAGGGCACCTCGCAAACCTAGCAGGATCTCACTTTTTGCATTAGAGCATCATTTATAGGACAGCCGTGTTCAGTCAGCTGCCCAAAATTGCAGTGCCAGGCACTGGGATTCTTTCGAAGTGGAGTCTCGGGTTCCCGTGACTACGGTAACACAATATACCACAAGTGGGTGGCTTTAAAGAACAGAAGTTTATTGTCTCACAGTCCTGGAGGCTAGAAGTCCAAATGAGGGCATCACCTTCCTTCTCGGCGCCCAGGAGTTCTTTATTTTCTTGAGCTGGCTTTTGAAATCTTCTGTTCAGCTCTTTTACATCATCATTTCTTCCATTCACTTGAGCTAGTCTACCTTCAAGAGTAAGTTTCAGAGTCTCCTCTGACATCGATTTTGGTCTTTTCTTTCTTTCCTGCCTTTGTAGTGACTTTTGCTTTCTTCATGTATGATGTTCTTGATGTTATCCCACAGCTTATCTGGTTTTCAGTCATTAGTGTTCAGTGCATCAAATTTATTCTTGAGATGGTCTCCAAATTCAGGTGGGGTATACTCAACGCCATACTTTGGCTCTTGTGGACTTGTTTTAATTTTCTTCAGCTTCAGCTTGAACTTACACATGAGCAGTTGGTGGTCTGTTCTGCCGTTGACCTCTCGCCTTGTTCTGACTCGCATTGAGCTTCTGCATTGTCTCTTTCCACTGATGTAGTCGATTTGATTCTTGTGTATTCCATTCAGTGTGGTCCACGTGTACATTGTTGTTGTTAGCTACCGTCAAATTGGTTCCTACTCATAGCGACCCTGTACAAGAGAATGAAGCATTGCCTGGTCCTGCGCCATCCTCACAATCCTTGTTATGATTGAACCCATTGTTGCAGCCACTGTGTCAGCCCATCTCGTTGAGGGTCTTCCTCTTTTTTGCTGACCCTCTACTTTACCAAGCGTGATGTCCTTCTCCAGGGACTGATCCCTCCCAATAACATGTCCAAAGTATGTGAGACGTAGTTTTGCCATCCTTGCTTCTAAGGAGCATTCTGGTTGTACTTCTTCCAAGACAGATATATTCATTCTTTTGGCAGTCCATGGTATATTCAGTGTTCTTTGCTAGCACCACAATTCAAAGGCATAAATTCTTAGGTCTTCCTTATTCATTTTCCAGATTTTGCATGCTTATGAGGTGATTGAAAACACCATGGCTTGGGTCAGGGGCACCTTAGTCTTCAGGGTGACGTCTTTGCTTTGCAATACCTTGAATAGGTCTTTTGCAGCAGATACGGCGAATGCAATTTGTCTTTTGATTTCGTGACTACTGCCGCCATGGGTGTTGATTGTGGATCCAAGTAAAATGAAATCCTTGACAACTGCAGTCTTTTCTCTGTTTCTCATGATGTTGCTTATCGGTCCAGTTGTGAGGATTTTTGTTTTCTTGATGTTGAGGTGTACCCATACTGAAGACTGTAGTCTTTCATCTTCATCTGTAAGTGCTTCAAGTTCTCTTCACTTTCAGCAAGCAAGGTTGTATCGTCTGCATAATGTAGTTAATATCTTCCTCCAATCCTGATGCCCCATTCTTCTTTATATAGTCAAGCTTCTCGGATTATTTGCTGAGTATACAGATTGAATAGGTATGGTGAAAGGGTACAACCCTGACGTGCACATTTCCTGACTTTAAACCACGCAGTATCCCCTTGTTCTGTTCAAACTACTGCCCCTTGATCTATGTACAAGTTCCTTGTGAGCACAGTTAAGTGTTCTAGAATTCCCATTCTTTGCAATTCTTTTAGTCATCTAGTGCTGCTGTAACAGATATACCACAAATGGATGGCTTTAACAAACAAGTTTATTCTTTCACAGTCTGGTAGGCTAGAAGTCCAAACTCAGGGCATCAGCACCAGGGGAAGACTTACTCTGTTAACTCTGGAAGAAGGTCCTTGTCATCAATCTTCCCCTGGTCTAGAAGCTTCTCCATGCAGGAACCCTGGGTCCAAAGGACATGCCCTGCTCCCTGTGCTGCTTTCTTGGTGTTATGAGGTCCCCCCCCACTCTGCTCGCTTACACTTTTATAGCTCAAAAGAGATTGGCTCAAGACACAATACAGTCTTAAGATTGAGGCCTGCCTCATTAACATAACTTCCACCTATCTCACCTCATTAACATCATAGAGATAGGATTTACAACACACAGGAAAATCACATCAGATGACAAAATGGTGGGTAATCACACAATACTAGGAATCATGGCCTGGTCAAATTGATGTACATATTTTTGGAGGACACAGTTCAATCTGTAACAACAGTATTATCCATAATTTGTTATGATCCACACAGTCAAATGCCTTTGCATAGTCAATAACACACAGGTAAACATCTTTACAGTCCTGTGCTTTTAGCCAAGGTTCATCTAACATCAGCAGTGATATCCCTGGATTCACGTCCTCTTCTGAATCCAGCTTGAGTTTCTAGCAGTTCCCTGTCGATGTACTGCTGCAACCACATTTGAATAATCTGTAACAAAATTTTACTTGCGTGTGATATTAACGATATTGTTTGATAATTTCCACACTTGGTTGGGTCACTGTTCTTGGGAATAGACATAAATATGGATCTCTTCCCGTCAGTTGGCCAGGTCTTCCAGATGTCTTGGCATAGACGAGTGAGCGCTTCCAGTGCTGCATCTGTTTGTTGAAACATCTCAATTGGTATATTCTGTCAGTTCCTGGAGCCTTGTTTTTTGCCAATGCTTTCAGTGCAACTTGGACTTCTTCCTTCAGTACTATATGTTCCTAATTGTATGTTACCTCCTGAATTAGTTGAACATCAGCCAGTTCTTTTTGGTAGTGACTCTGTGTATTCCTTCCATCTTCTTTTGATGCTTCCCACATCGTTTAATATTTTCCCCATAGAATGCTTCAGTACTGTAACTCGAGGCTTGAAATTTTTCTTTAGTTCTTTGCCAGCTTGAGAAATGCCAAGCGTCTTCTTCCCTTTTGGTTTTCCATCTCTAGGTCTTCGCACATGTCATTATAATACCTTTGTCTTCAAGAGCCACCCTTTGAAATCTTCTGTTCAGCTCTTTTACTGCATCGTTTCTTCCTTTTGCTTTAGCTACTCTATGTTCAAGAGCAAGTTTCAGAGAATTTTCTGACATCCATTTTGGTCTTTTCTTTCTTTCCTGTCTTTTTAATGACTTTTTGCTTTCTTCACAGATGGTATCCTTGATGTCATTCTACAACTTGTCTGGTTTTCGGTCATTAGTGTTCAGTATGTGAAATCTGTTCTTGAGATGGTCTCTAAATTTAGATGGGGTATACTCAAGGTCGTACCTTGGCTCTCGTGGACTTGTTCTAATTTTCTTCAGTTTCACCTTAAACTTGCATATGAGCAATTGATGGTCTGTTCCACAGTCGGCCCATGGCTTTGTTCTGACTGATGATATTGAACTTCGTCGTCTGTTTCCACAGATGTTGTCGGTTTGATTTCTGTGTATTCCATCTGGTGAGGTCCACGTATATAGTCGCCGTTGATGTTGTTGAGAAAAGGTATTTACAATTAATAAGTTGTTGGTCTTGCAAAATTCTATCATACCATCTCTAGCATCGTTTGTATCACCAAGGCCATATTTTCAAACTGCCGGTCCTTCTTTGTTTCCAACTTTTGCATTCCAGTCACCAGTAATTATCAGTGCCTCCTGATTGCATGTTCGATCAATTTCAGACTGCAGAAGTTGGTAAAAACCTTCAGTTTCTTCCTCTTTGGCCCTAGTAGTTGATGCATAAATTTGAATAATAGTTATATTAACTGGTCTTCCTTGTAGGTGTATGGATATTATCCTATCACTGATGGCATTGTACTTCAGGATAGATCCTGAAATGTTCTTTCTGACAATGAATGCAACGCCATTGGTCTTCAAGGTGTCATTCCCGGCATAGTAAACCGTATGATTGTCCAACTCAGAATGGCCAACACCAGTCCATTTCAGCTCACTAGTGTGTGGGGTATCAATGTTTATGTATTCCATTTCATTTTTGACGATTTCCAGTTTTCTTAGATTCATACTTCGTACATTCCCTGTTTCCATTATTAATGGATATTTGCAGCTGTTTCTTCTCATTTTGAGTCGTGTCACATTATCTTTTGAGTGCCATCCAACCTGAGGAGCTCATCTTCTGGCACTATATCAGACAGTGTTCTGCTGCTATTCATAAAGTTTTCACTGGCCAGTTTTTTTTCAGAAATAGATCCCCAGGTGCTTCCTGCCAGTGTGTCTTAGTCTGAAAGCTCAGCTGAAACCTATCCACCATGGGTGACCCTGCTAGCATTTAAAATACCAATGACGTAGCTTCTAGCATCACAGCAACACGCAAGCCAAGATAGTACAGCACACTGACAGATGAGTGGTTGGTCCTTGGATTAGCACTGTCAGTACTGGGATCAGGAGTCCCTTGGATTAAGACTGTCAATACTAGGCTTAGAAGTTTCTTGGATTAGGACTGTGAACACGGGGCCCAGGAGATCCTCGG